GGTATTCGTAAATTCTATGTAACAAGTTTATGTGATTAAAATAAAATAACGGGTTATCCACACCCTTCGTGGATCAAGCTCAAAAACTTTACGCGGAATGGCCACGTGGTGAATTTTATCTCTACATGTGTATATAGGTCACTCACCCTGGCATGCCTGTACATGCACAAGATATAGGTCATTCACATGACCAGGGATTGTTTACAACCTGTCTGCGCTCTGGGGGGCACGAGGGGTTGACACAAAGGGATCGGCGGCACTTAGGGGTTGGCCACTTAGATCTCCCATACTGCACAAAGGCATTGGGCGCCATCTTGGCTTCTGTCTTTCAACACTCCTTACTCCGGAGTGGCTAGGATCTGGCCAATGGGAGTCTACAGGCTTGTGGTGTATAGAAGGGGTGAGGATTACATGGAAGATTGGCGTAATTGGCCTCTTGAAAAAAAATTATGCCCATACTTGGAAAATGTGGAGAATTTTATCGTCCGCTCGCTGCGCGAAGGGTTAAAAGTTCCGCCTCGATTTTTTTTGTTCTTGCAAAATGAAAGTTATTCGCTTTTGAGTGAGACATCGACCGAAAAAAAATCGGCCCAGCAATAATTCCTTTCTCGCCAGGTAGGCTTAATTGCTCCCGCCCCACAATCACTCGATGGACCTAGATAGTCGGTCCTATATTTTATTATTGACAACCCAACTCCAGCTACGATGGACCGGGAACCGTCTGCTCCAAAGCGGATCTGTTTGTGTCCAAAACAAAAACTTTTTATTTCGCAATAAAAAAACCCAACAATGAACATCAAAGTTGTTGAACAGCCTGAGACAGTAAATTCAAGTGAATTATTTTTTTCGTAAGCGAATTCATTTATTTAGCGCCCTCCATTGTCGCAAATTCATCTAGTCTTGTATCCTGACTGACCTATCTAAACGATACAATTGTCTACGCATTTACACCATATACGTCGTACCGTGAAATACGCGGAAGATTCAAGTATTTATATCCTCGATGTTCGTGTTTTCGATGGTGTTAGGATGTATTTCAAGCAAGAGAAAAACACCAACAAAGCCTTCGGTTTCCAAATTGTTTGGGCTGGTGGTGGAACACGTACTGCACACATAACAAGTGGAGTGTCATGGCCTAGCGGTTAAGAACACCGGACTCATGCTCGACGCTCTGCAGTTTCAGTGGCGTGGGTTCGAGCCCGCCGGATGGACACTAGTGTGCCCTTGAGCAAGGCCCTTAACCATTATTACTTCGTCCTTCGGATGGGACTCAAAGCCGTAGGTCCCATGTGCTGTGTAATCCAATACTCCCACGCGGAGTATTTGAAACAACTAACCAAGAACAAACCGTGGAGAAACAAACGAACTGGTTGTGTGGTACGACTCAGCGCTAGTGCGTCGCAATGCAATGGTTGCAACAACTAAACAAACTTGATGCCTCGAAATCAGTTACACGGACGATCTTGTATTTGTCGTGGAAACATGTCTACAACTTGAAGTTGATGGAGTATGCCTAGTACAACCTGAAGATTTTCAAGAAGAGCCAGAGGACTTTGTACATTGGCGAATTAATTTACGCGGTTTTCTCTGGTATTTGAATGAGACACTACTGGAGCGGGGAGGTATGTTCTATCATTTTTTTGTGTTCTAATCTTGTTCAGTGTGTATTAAATTACTAATTGATTGCTGCTACCCAGTAGACATGGCAGACGTACGTAGACGTACAATCCTCTCTCAGTGCATGTAGTGTATGCAGTCTTTAGTCTTAGGCTGGTGCCTGGTGGTACTATAGTATAATGAGTTTATTTCACCATACATGTATATACGAAATCACGACAGACCTAAATTGATGTCGCATATACTAATGATATACCGCATCTTTCATCGGGAATTTGCACCACAGCATAGGCAGCAAGTTTCCAACAACAAAGCACTAACACTTTCAAGGGTTTGGGACAGAAACGTCTAAGGAAAGATTCCCATATCTGGCCATCACTAATTTTTTCCCTTACGGTGATCAATCAGACAGCGGAAATTGATAATATGGCCTAAATAGTCAAATTTAACAGGGAAAATATTGAAATCTTTACTGACAAAAACTGAAATGTTCAGACCAGTCTAATAAGGTTTGAGCACAGGGTGAAAACTGATGGTCGAATATGGGAATCTATCTTTTGTGTTGTTGTAAACACTTACATTTTTGCGGGGAGAAGAGAATTGAAGAGCAATAGATATCCTCCATGGCTGGTCAAAACTAAACAAAATTGTGCACAGATACCATGTGTATGTCATGTGTTAGAAGTAATTATGTCGTGTTAATAAAGGCAGTGAACATGGTTAGAGAGGTGCTGTAAAACATGCAAAACAAAATCAGGCCAACTTTACCCACTCTTTGGCCGACAAAATCCTCCACAATTTCCATGAGGCAAAGACAAAGTCCTCAGTATTTCACCAACCAAGACCAAGTTTGAATTCTCAATTCAATTTTTAGAGGAGACTTTTCTTCACCATTGTGCACCTGAGAGGGAATTCAAGTGATATAAATTTGAGGCCAAATACTAGACTGGTACGTGTGCAACCACGGTCCAACTGTTTGAAAAGACTGACCTCTTCTTTAATCTAGTGGCTGACTAAGGAGAAAATGTGTAGAAATGGAGACCATGTGCCAGACATGGCAGATGTTTCTTTCGGCACAGTTGATTGATGTAATGCAGCACTGATGGGGTGTTGGACTGGTTGTTTCAGGTGCCAGTATATTTTCTTTTGTTGCATGTTTTCAATATCTTAAGTTTTGAGACTCTCATATATCATACGCAGTATTGAAAGCCATGGGCGTCGCGAGGGGGGGAGGGGGGCGCCCCCCTCCCTGGAAAAGCAAAAAAAAAAAAAAAGGAAGAAAAAAAAAAAGAGAAAACAAAAGAAAAGAAAAAGAGGCGCGAAGTCATAGTGGTGAAAATTTAATGAATTGGGGGGGGGGGCAAAATGTCCCTGCCCCCGTCTAAAACTGAGAAATCGAGAATTTGTTCAGAAATACAAGAATGTTTTGGGAAAAATATGTTTTGCCCCCCTCCAGAAAAAATCCTGGTGATGCCCATGTTGAGAGCCCCAAATTTTCGGATTAAGATGAGGCCTGAGAGTATCAAAAGTAAAATCCTTTAAAAAAGGGTAAAATCAATCTGCCTTCCCTTCCCACAATGCCATTTTGGCCATTATACAAATGCCTCAAATAGCAGGATGGACAACAAAATAAGGAATTTGTTTGAGATTCAACTTCTGTGAATTATGTGGTTGCATATGTTGCAGCATGCATAGCAACTAGTAGCTAGTTGCTTGTTTAATTGTTGTAGCAAGGGAATCCTAGGAAGAAATATTCAGTAAGATAGCAACACTGAGCCAGTCTAAAAGCTAACTAAAAGCTTAGCTGTTAAGATGGGGTCCGCTCATAAGTCCGACGCCTCATAAGTCCGAAATTTCGGACTTATGAGGCGTCGGACCTATGAGGCGTCGGACTTATGATACGGCCCCGTTAAGATTAGCCATTGCAAGATCATAGTCAAGAGAAAACATTGCAAAATATGATGCCCCGCCGGAAAAGCCAATAAACGAGGCACACTGTTTTTATATTTTGTTTTTCAAGGAATTGCCTCAATATGTGGCACTTGTTCGGAAAGTTCAATAGTATACAAATGATGCCACGGAGAGAACGTCCTCAGCAAAGCTCATGACACTTCGGCAACAGAACTCAATATGACAACATGAACAAATGTCATGGCCCTTCTTGCTACCATTAGCGAAGAATTCCCGCTTACTAGCAAGAAAATTCCGTGCTTACGGTTGGCATATTTCACGGGTTTAAAAGTGAGGATTTTTTAGCTTTTGTGCATGTGAACATCCTGTAACTCAGGGTGCTGTGATTTAAACATGCAGAATTGGCACAGATTTTTGTTTGTTAATGTTAGCGCTGTTAGTACATTGATCGCTGTAAGCGCAGAATTCTGTGGAAAGCAGAGCCATGAAATTGGGCACTTACATCACACAAAACAGTGAAACAAGCAGATGGTATTAAACCAGGCTGCGTGACATAGTCAGCATATAAACACACAGCCTGCGCAATACCTGAAAAATTGTCAAATACTGAAGGTTAACTGAATATCAAGACCAAGAAAATAAGTTCAATTGGTTCTTGTGAGGTCACGGAGTAGAGCTAATAATTGCACGTAGGACAATATACATGTATTTGGGCGTTTCTGAGTTACACCGTGAGCTGTATAATAGCTGCTTTTGAATTTCCAACAGTGTTCCATTGAACAGTTGTTGGAGATTAAAAAGGGGGAAATTTGTCCAACCATTTTACATCTGTGTATAATCAAAATCCCGGGCCCTTTTCCCAAATAATTGTATCTCGTCTGTGGACTTATTGCGCAAAGTTTCGACGGAAAATCGTCCACTGTATCCGTAGTGCCCTGTAAAAAAAAATTACTATTGGAAACAGTCGTCTGCTGCACTCGCATGTGGTCATGGATCCCTAAACATTAGCTAATATAGACATGTAAATCGCATCAAGTCACTAGACGAATTGTTCGAGGACAAAATGTCACAAATATTTATCTGAAAAAAATGCTTGAAAACACCCTTCCACTTCATGGAAACAATTTGATTTTTAACATGTTGTTTGTGTATTTATGTAAAGTCGTTTAATGCTTGAATGGTTTCTATTGCAATTTGTTCTGGGTCTTAACTTAAATTGACCGGACTACAACGGCAGTATTTCATAGTAGGTGATTGGGCAAAGGACCAATCACAATCAACGCGTCCATGGATGTAGAGAACTCTCGCCCAAATAAGAACACACATCCGGGAGTGCGAGGCATTTGGAAGCCGTCGATTCCGAAGGCCACAACTAAAAATTGAAGTTCTTGATCAACATTTCAACTCGTGAGAAGTGGGGTTTTCGAAACTCACCGTGAAGACCAGCACTTGCTGTTCAAGGAGCTGGTACAATGTATCTGAGCCGGGACACGGTGCTTGTGGTCTGTGCGGCCGTCGTGGTTCTGTGTGCTGTCCAACACGTCTTTGCGGTGCCAGGTATATAGCTTGAAAGTTACACCCCGTGCTCTTAAACATGGATTTGTCTTTCCTCCAAAAGAATTTTCAATTTGTATGTTCTGTTTTATTGACAAACAAATATTCTGATTTTAGGCGTCTGCCACCTTCTGAAAAAAGGGGCTTTCATTTTGGGCATATCTAGAGAGCGAAAGCGTCTGACAGCCAAAACTAGAGTTTTGCGAAGAAATAATTAAATAACTTAAATGTCGGTGGATTTTTTTTTCCGTTCGATGTCAAACGTGAATTATTTTTATAATCCTAAAAAAATAGCCATTAAAAAAAATATATTTGTCGAGGTGAAACTCGAAAAAATTGCGTCTTTAACATTTTTCGTCGTACCGGTAGTAAAACATGCAAAGAATATTGCTAACATTTAAGAAAAGTTTCAAATGAATGAAACACTTCGTTCAAAACTTGCGAATAGTGGTCATATCATCATGCGTTTGGTTTCGTACAGAAAAGTTCCACTGCTCACGATCACAAATATCCATCACTCGACCAGTTCAGCACATGATCTCGCTCGGACTCGCTCAATCTCGCTCACTCGGACGTACTCTCCCGCTCGAACACACACCCACCAGAAATAGTCCAAGTCTGGAAAATATTCCAAACTGTTTTGATTTACTTGAGTCACACTATACTCTCAGCGTTTGTAACCATTCTCCCTGTAACTCTTCCCATTTTTTAATGAAGAATACCAACAGCTGAAATGCATTTTTTCAGAGCAAAATCTCACCACTTTCTGTGAAGAGTTCCATTTCCCCAATCAAATGATAATTTTAAATCTACTTCATCAACGTTAAAACAGCTCAACTATTTCGAATGTCAAAATCAAAGCGGCTCATCCGTGTTGGACTTAAATCAAATCTGATGTTCCATTAAAGTCCAATGGAAGGGCCTCAACTAAAAATATAATGCAGTAAGATGGTAAACGTTTGACCTGCAACTTAATATTCTGAAACTGAATGATCTCTGCCACCATCGACTGGGTATACTTATGTTTAAATATACTCACAACATGCTCCATCCACTTTTTAATCATCTATTCTCATTTACTTCTTCTGTTCATTCATATGAAACACGTAGTTCATCGAAAGGTGATCTGTTTGTGAGAAAAAATAGAACTTCCTTTTTTAGAAGCAGTTCATTTAACGTGGTGTTATATACCTGAATGAACTCAACACTGGTTTAAAAGAGTGTACTACTGTTGTTTCATTTACCAAAAAAATTGAAAAAAAATCGATCATCAATACTTATACTTAACTTAAAAAAAAACATTTTCTTCTCTGCTTTGCTTAGTCATTATTTTACATATTGTACCGGGTCTCACTCTTAAACCTATTGTCCTGTCTTATTCCGTGTGTAGTTAGTTGTTTAAGTTTTGTCCTGTCCCAGGGAAAGGTACAAAAGCAGTGCTTCACCTTTTCCCTTTATGTTGACATCATTTAATATTTACACTTAATTACATACTGTCTGTGAAGAATGTTTTATTTATACATATATATACTGTTTTTGTCTGAATTGTTACCGAGGATGTCAATCTGAAAATAAATGTCGAATTGATTTGATTTGATTGGGAGCTTATATGCAGCAGAGATGATACTTGTCAGGAATTTTCCTGATTTCAGGATTTATGGAATCCCGTTTGAATCAGTGAAAATCTTTTTACATAGTGATATACATGTACAGCGAAATAAGTTGGTATTTACAAACCTAGACCAAGTACATAGCTAAACCATAGACCCTATACATTGCTCTGATGGGACCCTGAGCGGCTGTCACAACTACCCCCAGAAATTAGGGCAGTGGAATTTTTGGGACTGGTTTTCCCACCCACAACTTCGTGCAAACACCAAGAATAATCCTCTCAGACGTTCTGTATATTTACAAATAAGTTAATATGCACAAACTGTAAATTTACAGGCGACGAATAATCTTTACAAATATTATGTACAAATCCTTACGAATGTTATTTACATAATGAGGCGATAGTGACCCAATAAATAATGTAGATCAAGGTCCAGGAGCCTGTGAAATACCTGAAATACCAGCGATGGGTATGAAACTAACCTTAGGTTAAAAAAAATGATCAATCAATTAAATGCAGAAAAGTTATGAGCTTGGAGTATAGAACTTATAATCAACCAAATCTATTTAAAGTAACGAAAATAACTAAATAGAAGTTTAACCTACGCTTAGAAGAACAGTTAATGAAGCAAACAAGAGCAAAAAGTTAAATCACCTAATTAAATGAACTTTACTTGTATTATATTAAACCTACTCTAAATCGGCAATACTTATTTAATATATTTAGGGAGCGTCTACAAATAATGCAAGTTCCCCAGATCAAAGCCTTGGATGGCGGGGGGGGGGGGGGGGGGTGCCAATGAGATCATTTAGTAACAGCAACGCGAGGTCTGTTACATCCAAAGAATCGTTTTGTCGGGACTCAAGTATGCTTTTCTGGAGTAGTTCATTTCACTGTTGACTGTACAAGCAGATGTCTCAATCAATGTTAGTACCTCAATCATGATCTTCTCAATTTAGTTGTTTAAAGTTACTGTACCGTACTTATGAAAAACATGGAAAGTTCATGTACAGAACTACATCTGTTTCTCATCAACCTCGCCCATTAACTTTTTTTTCTTTGTGATCCAAGTATTTTGAAAGGTTTTGTTCTATATTTTCATGTACTTACAAAATGCACTGTAAGCTTCACAACCTGAGCCCAGTAATCCTTACTTTTCTTAACCAAATCCAACACATCATTTTCAGGCGCTCAATTAATAATATTTAATTAAGGATTGTCGCTTTACTTTAAAAACGGTCCATGTATGCACTGTCCAACCGTTTTCCACCTGTGTATAATCAAAATAATGTTTTAGACATCCCTTGCCCTTTTCCCAAATAATTGTATCTCGTCTGTGGACTTATTGCGCAAAGTTTCGGCGGAAAATCGTAGTGTCCTGTAAAAAAAAATACTATTTGACACAGTCGTCAGCTGAACTCGCATGTGGTCATGGATCCCTAAACACTAGCTAATATGTATGTAAATCGCATCAAGTCACTAGACGAATTGTTCGAGGACAAAATGTCACAAATATTTATCTGAAAAAATGCTTGAAAAACACCCTTCCACTTCATGGAAACAATTAGATTTTTAACATGTTGTTTGTGTATTTATGTAAATTCGTTTAATGCTTGAATGGTTTCTATTGCAATTTGGTCTGGGTCTAAATTGACCGGACTACAACGGCAGTATTTCATAGTAGGTGATTGGGCAAAGGACCAATCAACGCGTCCATGGATGTAGAGAACTCTCGCCCTAATAAGAACACAGATCCGGGAGTGCGAGGCATTTGGAAGCCGTCGATTCCGAAGGCCACAACTAAAAATTGAAGTTCTTGATCAAAATTTCAACTCGTGAGAAGTGGGGTTTTCGAAACTCACCGTGAAGACCAGCACTTGCTGTTCAAGGAGCTGGTACAATGTATCTGAGCCGGGACACGATGCTTGTGGTCTGTGCGGCCGTCGTGGTTCTGTGTGCTGTCCAACACGTCTTTGCGGTGCCAGGTATATAGCTTGAAAGTTACAACCCGTGCATGCTCTTAAACATGGATTTGTCTTTCCTCCAAACGAATTTTTAATTTGTATGTTCTGCTTTATTGACAAAAAAATATTCTGATTTTAGGCGTCTGCCACCCTCTGAAAAAAAGGGCTTTCGTTTTGGGCATATCTAGAGAGCGAAAGCTTCTGACAGCCAAAACTAGAATTTTGCGAAGAAATAATTAAATAACTAAAATGTCTGTGGATTTTTTTTCCGTTCGATGTCTATTTCAAACGTGAATTACTTTTATAATTCTAAAAGCAAGCCATTACAAACAATTGTCGAGGTGAAACTCGAAAAATTGCGTCTTTAACATTTTTCGTCGTACCGATAGTAAAACATGCAAAGAAAATTGCCAACATTTAAGAAAAGTTTCAAATGAATGAAACACTTCGTTCAAAACTTGCGAATAGTGGTCATATCAACATGCGTTTGGTGTCGTACAGAAAAGTTCCACTGCTCACCATCACGAATATCCATCTTGCCATAAATTATGTAACTTGATAATCCATGTGTTAAGGCTCTTTTTAGTTTAAACTTTATATGAAGTTGTGCATTTTTTTGTGATATTCAAAATCATTTTCGACTTTTATTAGTTACAACGTATCGTTTCAAATTCGCTGAACTTAACTGCTCTGTGGAGTACCAAACGGGTCCAAGTTAATGGATTTCAAACGCAATTAAAGTTTCTTGTCGGTTAGGTTTTGGAAATTAGGTTTTGACAGTTCTGCACAACTAGGTGGAATTATTAGCCGAATACGAAATATCTATCCACCACCAAGGCTGAGCGTTGTGAGTTCGCTGCCCGCCACGTATGATTCAGTGTCGCGTTATAATTTCGGGGGCCTGTTTGGGGTCAACGAAGGATCGATGCATTAATTGCTTCAAATATCGCGATCTTAAAACGAAGTCACAAAAAAATCGACGAAAAAGTGTCCGACCCGGAAGAAGACACCCACATTTTTCCACGGACGTGAAGCCGCGGTCTCGGATCCTTTCAGAAGCAAACATTTCTCGGAGGCCAAGTAAAACTTGCTCTTATATATAGATGGTTGAACCAACTTGAATAAAAGTTGAATCGCAGACGGTCTCGCAAATTGTAAGAAGTTCAAGTTTACGTTTGTTGAAGAGTCCAATACTGAAACTTAATTATGACCTTCCTCCATGATTCAGATCGTTTGTAATTTTTTGGTAACACTCAACATTTTCATTTTAAATGACACCTTCACGTTTTATTGCATTATGATTTATTGTCAAACTGTACAACCAGCCTTCGCCTGTGTACTACAGTAACCTTTTCACTACGTTTTCCAAATGCGACTGCCTCACAAAAAGCCAATTTAACAGACCAACGGCAACATTTACAGACAGT